CAATAATTTTTATTATCAAATCCACTAAACATTCAAGTAATTTAAATCAACCACTGTTCAACTTTGTAAGATATTTCATTTTTCACTCAAGAATTATTGTAAAGCAATGATATGATTACATACCTAAATCTTATTTCACAATTCTTCAACAACTATTTTTAACTAGTACACAGAGCTACGTACTTTTCAAGCAGTGAAAAATTGATTTGTCCGTTGCTATAGAGCATAGACAACACAAAAGAAATTAAGTACATAAACAGAACTATAATTGAATATTGAGAGGCAATGAACTAATCTATCCAATTTCTTACGTTGTTTGTTTAGTACTCTGGTTTGATACAATGAGAGACTATTATATGGTAAGCTGTTATTTTGGGTTGATGCAAATAAATCGTTAAAATAACGGCTACTACAACAAATATGCAGACAACATAACTAATTAAGAAATTTAATTGTTTTACTAATAATACGATAAAAATCAAAATTTACTGCAGAACTTAAAACAAATGAAACTCGGCTAGGAAGTATTAAGTAAATAAAAAATGAAGTTCATCATCTATGCTTTCACTCATTGAACTAATATCGAATAAGTAATATAAATAGAAAAAAATCTAGGAGAATCAAAAATGTCTTTACAATTAAATAAGGAGACATATAATGAAGAGGTTATTCAAAATTCTATCATTAATACTTTGATATTATAAGATGAAAGATTATAATATAAGAATAATCGATAAGAAAATTTTCTTACATCACAATTGCAAGATGAAACAAAATGTTTGCTCTTGCAAACGAGAGTTTATTGTATTCAAGTCTTGTATTTTGAGTAACCTCTTATTCAGCATTGAAAATCTATACCTAAGCAGTCACTTTATTGAATAATACGAGACTTCTATTGTATTATTTATCAACATGATTTTTATGGTACATAGATAAAATTCTAAAACGAACTTTATTCTTAGAAGTGAAATCAACAATGTATAATCTTACTATAACACTAGAAATATATTATCTTACATTGAAACTAATCATCAATGTATATGAAATGAACAAGAAAAAAAACATTAGAAAAGAACAATTCATTTCAACCAGACTATTTTTTCGTATAAGTATCTTTTTGTTTAATTTTCAATATAGTTTTATTATTATAAAATGAAGGCCATTTAGACGAATAAAATCAAAATCAAAAGAAAATATTTCGACTTTTACGAGTTCGAAGTATACAAACATTGATTTTTTTTTCTTCCTTAGATTTCTTTTCAATCAGTGATGTTGCAAGGACAAGTTGCTAACGTTGTTCAACCAGTGTCTGATTGAAAAATAATAAATTTTGCGCCTTTTGACAGGTATCTACTATACGTTGTCGTCTTTATAAGTAAAAGAAAAGGAGAGAATGTCCGGTATACGGCTTCTCTCGTTCTTGTGTCGTCATCTTCTATTTAGAAAATCTAAGGAGAGAAGAGAAAAAAAAAGAACGACGCTATTCTTTCTTTTCTTTGTTCTGCTCTGTCGACATCAGTATTCTAGGTGATGTTGGTAGTAGCAGTGATGACATTATAATTTCGAGAGCATGTATTTACACGAATAATTGAAATCTTAAAAGAAAAAGAAGAGAAGAGAAAGAAGATTACCACACACATTCATATATACAGCGAGATCTGCATAGTGGTCAGAAGCCGACTATACTGACTCACACATTCTTGCTCTAATTTTTGTGTAGAAACCGATAATCAGATACTAAATTATTTTTTTTTTAAATAAATAGTTAGCTATCAAATGCGATCGAGTGAAAACTATCATCGACAAAATCAAACTGGAATAGTTGCAAGTAGAAGAAGGTACGCGCTATAATCTAGTAGCATTACTAATTCTTAACTAATAGTTTTTTTCAATTAGTTCTAAAAAGAATTCATATATATATATATTAGAAAAAAAACTCTAATATGCTTATTTTAAATGATTTTCTTTATTATTATAATTTAACAATGCTTGTTTCTCACACGTCTTTTCATCATATACATGTAATTATACACTCCGATGTTGTATTAAACCGGAGAACAATAATCGAGTAAGGACATATGTTGCCAAGCACGCTAGTGAAAAAAAACAGTGTAAAATGTTATGAACAAATAGTGTCGGATCGTCCGGATGTCGTTGTTGGTATTACATAAAAGAAAGAACTTGAGAAAAAAAGAGCAATGACACGAGCCTATAAAGAACAGATGCTTGCGTATGTATATATCTGTCTCGATTGAAGAACTTATTGAACACATCTGGCAATATAAAATTTTTTTCTCTTCTTATCTTTTATTTGAGACATGGCATTTACTGGTTTGTGTTTTGGTTTCTTACTTTTTCCTGACATACATACACACACCTCAACGAGTAGAACTGATAAAAAATAAATGAGTCCGTTGCTTAGTGTCTTGACGCTTCAATTTTTTTTTTCTTTTTTCTTTCTTTCTTCGGTCTGTTCCATAAAATGATTCTAATGTTCATCATAGTCAATGTATGTGTGTGTGACGTGATAGTAACGTCTTTTTTTTAAACATCCGCCTGCCGGATATCCTGTCATCTTTAATCTTTTTTCTTGTTTGCTTTGAGAGAAAATGGAATAATTTTTAACTTTGGTCTTATTCAATCCATAGGCTTCCGTTTGATTCAACTTCAGCTCGCATGTCATCATCAACAGCATCGAAGCGTGTAGCTTCCAACACATTTCGCTATCCACAATCTAATAATCGTCAAGAGAGTTTTCTTAATAATTCTTCATCTTCTTCAATTACAGAAGATGAAGGTAATCGTGATGTAAAAATGTTCGATGAAACCATTCCTGATAATGGATTAGGTGACACAGATAGACGTAAAAATGGTCTTACAAATGGTCGTCATTCATCAATAAATAATCACAATAATAAAAAGGATATAGGTGCTCCAATGATTCAAGAATTAATTCAATCAAACATGGATCTTAAGTAGGTACTCAAAAGAAGGAAAGAGTGTATTGAATGTATTTTTGAGATCCACTTCATTTGTTTCTTTCTTTTTAACAGAAAAGAAATTCGTGAAATCCGTCGGCAATTAAAACATAATAATGGAGCAAACAAACAACGTATTGATCGTATAATAACCAGAACGAGTAGTTCAAACAAAGTCAACGTAAGAGATTTTAATAAAAAAAGAAAAAGAAAACAATATTCAATATTTAGGTTTTGGATGATGATGCTTGTTCTTTTGTGCCTACTGAAAATGATAATTTTAATAATCTTTCAACAACAATATCAAAATTACAGCAATATAAAACAGAAGCAACAGTAAAATTCTTTTTAATAAAAATCATTTACATAATATTATTTAGGTTTATAAACAACAACTTGATGCATGTCAAGAAACAATAGCTCATCTTCGAAAAACAATTGATTCAATGGAAAAACGTATTGAACAATTGTAAAAAGAAATTTTATTATTATTATTATTATTATTATTATTTTTGTTATCAATTATTTATTCATAGAAGAACAATTGAACATCGACAAATATCTAATACATCTGATCAAAATGAAAATTATACGACAACTACGAATAATAACAATAACAATAACAATAATAATAATAATAATAACACGGATCATCGAGTAAAATATTTTTATTTATATTTTGTTCAAAAAAGATGTTTCATATAAAGGGCATTACAAAAGTTTTTTCCTCCATCCCTCTTGAAAATACTCAAAGATTGCTTCTAGTACTGCTTCTCACAGTACCAGTGCTCTTCAATCATGCGCTGATGTATTCGATTAAAATAGATGATGAAGATAGAGTTTGATAGATCACTAATGGCTGCTTATAGCTTGTGTAACATTGGATTTCAATTATTGAGTCTAATTTTGTGTAGTTGATATTTGTGTTTTAGCAGCAAAGAAGAGTTACATGAGTTTAGATCTATGAAATATGCGCAATTGACATATATTTTTATATTTCGAATTTCTTGACAAGTAGAAATATTTATAGTCTTATGTTTTCATAGTAAGAACTAAAACTTTTAAGACCAATTTTTAATGCTTTGCTGACGCAATTGGAAAACTTGTGCTAGGCAGCTACTGTTAGGTTAACTTTTGTCTACTAGATCTACATAGTATGGGCTTGTGATAGAAGATTGAAATTGGTTGATTTAAATTTTCTCAATAAATGACGAGACGATTGAACATGAAACTACTTTCAATCATTGATGAACTAATCATGCACTTATTGAACATAAAATTCCATAGAATTTTAAATGAATAGCAATAATTGCTGGCGAAATTATAATCTGAGTGTTTTCTATTAGTTCGTATCTTCAGTAAGAATTATCTTTAATTATCATTCGAACAACATTATTTGTATCTGTGTAAACAGTAGCCGAAGAACAATCTGAATTTCTTTGGTTTTCATTCATGAAGTTCATTGCGAATTATTCAATCTCTGAAGCTACTACATACCACCACGTCTGTCTTAAAATGACATGATTTTCCTTGTATGTGAAATCAATTTTCTGTTCATATAAAACAATATTTCGAAATCGCTTGCTTAGTCATTTAAACAATAGCGTATGACTGATCTGAATGAAATGTAAGAATAAGACATCGTGCAATGCCTAGAGGTTTGAAATTTTATATATCATCCTGAACATGTCTATGCATTATAGCAGCATATTTGATCTCAATTTAAAAGTTTTTGGAGAATCGAATGAAAGAACTTTTGTAGTGCTCTCAGTGATCATCATTTGGAAACAACTAAATTTTTCAAAAGATTGATATTAAATATTCTGTTATATCTATGTCTAGTTCATCCACGAACTATTTCATTTATGTATTAAATATGCACCACGATCATCAAAATCAAAAACAACAGTTCCCAGTCATCAAGATATGAAAACATATATACGACAAACATTTAGTGAATTTATTACAACATCATCACCATCTAAGGTATAAGATTTTTTGTATAAAACTATGTTTGAAATACTGATTGTGTACGATAAACAGCTTGTTGAAGTGTTTCTATACGTTCACGTATTTGAGGTGTTATTGAATTTGTACCTTGTCTTAATTCAAATGGAACACTAGTAGATGATAAACGAATAAATTGATTATTATTTTGATTAATATGAATAAATGATGTAACTGAATATTCTTTAGCAATATTTAGATGAATATTAGATTTTGCTATACGACGACCAGTTATTGAACGTGGTAAAGGAAGAACATTGTTAATTAGAGGATGTTGTTCACTTAACGATGAATTTTCTTGCATTATAAAAAAAAACAATTTCATTCATTTATTTAGATAAGCGCCAACAAAAATCAAGACATTGGTCATTTTGTTTGTAAATGTTCAGATCGAGTAAAACTTTATTTTTTTAATTTTTTTTTTCTAATTATTTTTTTGTTTGCAATTAAGATTCATACTGAACATCGTCCAACATATCAATATTGTCTTAGTTTAATTGAACAATGGCAATCTCTATTTGATGTAACATGTTTTACACAATTACCAACAGCACTCAATGAATTATATTATCGATATGGCGAATTAACAAATTTTAAACGATCAATTGCAAGTACACTTGGTGTTTTAGGTATTGAAAAATTTATTAGAAATAAAATAAAAGGAATTATTGTTGCTTTTTAATTTTATACAGAAAATACAAGATTGGTTAGTTGCCCAAAATTAATTAAAACATTACAACAAACACTTGATGATACGAAATCAAATGAATTAATTACATTTAAAAAAATGACAAAAATTAATGACATGAATGAGTAAGAATAATCTGAATATTTACCTGTAGTGTACTTACTGATTATATATATAAATACTTTCTTGATCAGCTCTTTCAGATGATTATCATATATTTTTGAGATAGAGTTCAATAAAAGCTAAGATAACAATATTTCGATCTTCATTCAGATCTATTATAACATATTCGAGAATCGAAAAATTTTTAGACAAGGTGTTTGTTAGATTTCAACACACTAGAAAATATCTCCAACGAGTCAAAATCTTTTTGAATATAAACTTAGAAATTTTGTCTCACTTTTTGTTTGAGAGCAATGAAATAATTTTTGAAAATTCAAAAAAAAAAAATTATTTTAAACGGAACTTGCAGGTCTGTTATATAAGTAAAGATCCCAAGTTTTAGTTTCGAATCGCAACAGTCAAAATATAGAAATTTTTCATTCAAACTAATCTTCGTTACTACTCTAAAGGTTATTTCATTACTATCGAACAAAATTTCTAAACCTACATTCGAAAAGAGCACCAAGTCATAGCTTTTTAACTTGCCGGCAATATATATAATGAATGTACATTAATTGTTTGGACACAGTCACGAATCAAAAAGATATATTGTTGAATTTTGTCATTTTTCACATTATAACATCATCATATCTATACTTATAATGATATCAAATTAATTATTTTTATATAGAGCGATTTCAAAAATTCGTTCATATGATGATTTTGTGCCTTATTATCATCAATTCATTGAACAAATGGCCAATTTACTCGGTAAAAAATAATCTTTTAAGAAAAAACTTTTAATAATTATAAAATTCTTTTCCAGAAGTATCAAAAGGTGATGAAATAATGCCAGCTATAAAAACACTTAAATTACTTGCACATGGTGAAAGTGATCGACCTGATAGTAATACTCAACGATCTCATTCATTATTGCGTACATCATCATTAAATATACATAACAATGTACATGAAAAGAATTTAACACATTCAAAATCACTTCGAGTACTTTCGTCTAGGCCGAATATTGAAGAATCCAATGTTAATCAATATCATAGTTCTGAAAAACAAAATGAAGATAGTGAACAACATGCTGAAACAGATGACGGAGATTCTTAATAAATATTGTTTACGCTTGCTTATGTGTGTGCTTGTGTGTGAATTTAGAATAGGTGCTTTCGCTTGTTTTTGATGTATCTTATAACTTTAACTCTCGACAGAAAAAAAAATCTTCATATATGATGCGCATATTAACCAGTATTCAATTATTTATAATTCTATCCAGTATAAAATATTTTTATACTGTTAAACATAGACAGAGCAAAGTTTGATTGTGACAAACCAATCTATCGATTTAGTGTTCCATATATTTGATTAGTATATGTGAGAGATTATAGAGAAATTCAGAGAATAATATTGAAGGAAGAATATAGATCTTGAAATTTCTACAATATTTATATTTAAAGTTAAGTAGCATGTGATGTAATATAAAAAAAAGAGAAGGAGAGAAGTGCACGAGTGATGAATGAATAAAATAAAAAATTTACATTCAGATCCACTTCATTGGAAAATTTACATTTTTCTCCTTCGCCTTTTTTTTCGCAGACTTAACTTTAAAAAATCTAATATACTTCAATCATCGAATTGTTCAACAACTTATTAAAAGTTAATCAATATCACCTGAATTGTGATATATTTTACCAAGGACTTCTATATTTTAGTGCTTCATTACTTAACTTTTTACCATAATTTACATAAGTGCTTTTGTTAGAACAAAATTTCAATGATCTTGAAGAATACCAAAAAAAAACTCCTTGTTCTATTTTTAGACTTGAATATAAATGTGTCCATGAGCATTTGAATATCAAACCAATTTCAAAAAAAAGTGCAAACTCTCAAACGAATATTAATCACCGAAAAAAAAAATTTAGATGTACTGTAGTGATTCTCGAGATCGAGGCTGTGTATTGAAAGTGGCTATGAACGAGATAATTAATTGCTGAAAAAGGAAAATAGTAGATATTGTATTTTCATCAAACGAGAGTTATGTATATGCGAGAATAAGAAACTATATGAGTCTATTATTCAAGATGAAGAAATATCAAAGTATATTGATAAAAAATATATTATACATTACGAAGATTGCTTTTTTCCTGAACTTGATAAGATCAAGGTCGTATGTTGTCTTAGGTGTCACTCAATGAGAAAATTTAATGTTTTGTAAGACTAAGTTTTTCAATACTACATTATCGACATACTTATACGAGGATTACATTCGAAATTGTTAAAATATTTTAAGTACATAAACACACCAGTTTAGCCATAATTCTAGAGCTCTAGGAAACATAAAAATCTTATCTATTGGTACAATATAATCAATAAACTGATGTTATTCTAATTGAAATCTCACAAAGTCATATTAAAGTAAAACCTGAATGTTTGTATAAGAGTAGTCATGCATCAAAAGCAAAACTAGTTTTCAAGTGTTCGCTTTCAGACATTTCAAGAGAACTTATATGGACAGGATCAATTCATAATGCTATTCTATAAACTTGATTATACATGTTCCCTTGAGACGAATTTTTCAGGCAGCATTACTTTTAAGAAGTTCTGCACCTTCAGTGTGGTACATAGAAATAAAAATTCGAAATTATGAAGGAAATATCTTCGAATTCAGAATTTTAGTTTCATTATTTGAAAGAACCGCCCATTTCCTGAAGAATTTGAAGAAACTTCGTGTATCCTCTTCTAGACAGTTTCTTGGTATCACTCTTTCTTGCTGAAGTTATATGAAGCTTATATACATCCTTTCACTTGGATAGCGATCACTATCATGTTTGATCTTGATTCCCCCATGCATGTCGAATACAGATCAAGAATAACGGCTCATATATTTTCTCATCATTCGCTTATTGAGCAACTCTTAATAAATGACTTTTTAGAAAAAAAAAACACCCGTATGCGATGCGATTTAACTTAGGTTTCACTATAAGGTGGTGAAAAAGTTTAACAACAATATATTTTTATATCTAATACATACTATACCAAGATCCTATAGATGAACTATAATGGCAAGGTTTCTAAAGAACCCGGATACAGTAGTTTTTAGACCTTACGAAACTTTGTTGGAGCTATTTTTGAACAATGTAAATTAAAAGAGCACAAAATTTTGAATCTATTGACAAGTCGTCACATTTTCTACGACTTTCCCTTAAAAAGTTCAACATTAAAAAAAAAGTCGAGAAACGACATTTTTTATCGATCTTTTCATAAACTTCCTTTTTCTGTGATACTTTTAACTTTTCTGAGAAAGCCATAGAAAATGCTGTAACTCCTCATTTCATTCAGAACTGTGTGCTCTTTCAAATGTCATTACTTAAAAATAGCTTCGGCAAAGTGTTCTGGGGTCTAACTGTTGTGTTTAGTCATTTAGACATCTTGCTATCATAAGTCACCTTTGAAATCTTGACTATTCAAACTATAATCTGAATTTAAGCTAATTGCTTAGAGTCATGAAAAAATGATCAAAAATACATTATTACAAAACTTTTTCACTCCATCTTCTTCTATGTGATCGAATGTTCTTTGATCGACAAAAGTTGATAATAAGTTCAATAATAATCTGCGGTAATAAAATATTATTTATATGAAAGAGAGCTATTCATATACTATAAATGTTCATTTTAAAGAAAGCACCTATCGAAAACGGAGTATTCTTTACTGTATTTATTACATATATCTTTTTCTGCTCGCAATACCAAGATTAAACTAACAATAGATCTCGAAGAAATACTTTGACCCTTGCCAGCTTTTGATTTCTTGAAAATATCTACTTTTGATCGATATCTAATAAATCTAAAATAGTTTTCTGCAACTGGATCAGTTACCCAACACTCAACTAGACTCAAAGCACGAGTCGGACTGAGAATTGGTCATATCATTTTCGATGTTGGGCATGGAAAAAATGTCGGTTTGAGTCTCAGGTATGACTTCATACTTGAATCCAACCCGATAATTAATGGTGTCTCGATGTTTCAAAATATTTTCACTTTTTCAAACTGCTAATTTATATAGAAAAACAGAAATGAAAACCGGTTCGATCATAGCTGAGCAATTTATTGCACTTAAGAATAGATCAGACAAGTGAAAAACCATATTGTCTTACCAAAAGAAGTCATCTACAGATGATGAGAAATCATATGAGTGTGGGTGTGTGGGTGTGGGGTGTGGGATGTGGGTGTGGGGTGTGGGATGTGGGTGTGGGGTGTGGGTGTGGATGTGGATGTGGGTGTATGGAATGTAGGTGTAGATGGGTGTGGATGCAGAACAAACGACACCCACACCCACATCCTAGCCATACCCACACCCACCCACATCCCACACCCCACACCCACCCTGCCATCAAAAGCCTTTGATTATGGAAGGATCATCAGATCAAATCTTGACTGAATGGATACCTGTGGTATTGTACCACTATCAACCTATGTGGAAATCACAAGCGAATGCTCTCGAAAAACATTTATTTCCTGATAGTAAAATAGGAAAAAAAGTATGAACGCTCGAGCTGGAATCATGGAAATGGTGCAGAAACACGTTTGCCAACGCAAAAGTCGATTGATGGGAAATGGCGTTGAATATATTTTCTTTACCACATGTTGCTGTTTGTGTTTTTCACTTTAATCCTATACATACGATATGTCTCGCGAGAGACATAAAGTGTGTTTCATAAGTTTCGACCTCCTTTTTATTTTTTTTAATCTTTACCGTTGTTAACGGTGATTCGCACTCTACCTGCCATCGATTGTTTTTCTCTTTCTCTCTCGGTTCTTCTTTCTACTGTATTGTTATTATTATTGTTGTTTCTCCTTCTTCTTCTCTCTATGGATGTATATATATCTAATAATTTGAGAACATTTTTGAAGCGATTTAACATATGAAATAAATAAACTAAGTTAAGCTCGTCGAACAAGCTAACAATTACCTAATAATAGTTATTATGGATAAAAATTTATGTTTTTAATTAAAGCATACCACTCCATAAATCTATGTTAAGTTTTTTTGTGACAAAATTTTCGAAAACCATTTTAATATTATTTTAACATACGACTTGATAATAATGGAAGACTAGTGACGTGAGATAGAAAATGGTTATCTTAAATAAAGGGGACGTAATTTATTTACTCATAGGATAAAATGAAGGCTATGTTTTTTATCTTCTTGCCACCGTTACCAGCACTTTACCTAGACGGACGTGAGTGTATGTTTACATTTTGTTCTTTGCAACAAAGTGTACAATGTGTAGTGTAAACCCTTTTTTTCAATGTAGAAAACAAAAGGTGATGTTCGGTATTTCATGAGGAATATAAATTATATATTTGGGAAACAAATAAACAAGGACGGTACAAAAAGGGATTGCGCCCCAGCCATGATGAAATTTGGTTAAGGCTTGCTCTGGATTTGAACATTTTCATGGCTCAATTCACTCCGAATTTAGGAGACTTCTTAAAAAACTTCTCCCAATTACAGCAAAAATATATTAGAGAAATTTCTTCGAAATTGGAGAACATTACCTAAAGATTTTGACCGAATTCATAGAAATTTGTCTAATATATATTTCTGAATACGTAGAAAATCCAAGTTTGGAAACCATTTTTTGACTTTCTCAGATTTTTACACCGATTTCCCTGCTCTAACGCTTTCGGGCTGCCTTTGCAAACAGAGTGGTAAATAGCAGAGCCCGAATCGAACCGACTTCTATTGGTTCGAGTTCGGTTCGGTTCGTCTTTTTTCTCTAAAAGTCGATTCGAGTTCGGTTCGGTTCGGTTTTATCTTCTAAAAGACGGTTCGGGTTCGGTTCGATTCGATCTAATCCAGATTTCTTCTAATGTCTACAAGAAAAGCTTCTAAATTTCATTGCATTGAGGATCTCACAATTGTGTCGTAAAATAACTTGTCCAATGTATAAACAGTAATTCTCCTGAACTGGAAGAAGTATTTCAGTATTTATTTAGTTTTTCCTAAATTAATTCTTTTAATTTTTATTCACATAAGAATAGGATGGAAAGTTGAATAAGAAAAAACAAAAGAATACGACAAAGAACCAGAAAATAGATACTTAT